CAGTCTCGAAAAAGTACAAATGTGTTTGAAAGCTCTGAAAGATAGTAAGTGGACCTTTGAGTTTAAAGTATTTTGTTATATAGAATATAGCTTTGACGCTCAAAGGGACAAGAGTTTGCTTATAGTAACATAATGAATAGAAAAACCTTTGAGATTTCTTTGAGTTTTGCAGTTTTCTTTAGGGTCAGGGGTTTTTATGATGTCGCCAGTGAATCTGTACTTAAAGAAAGATAATATAAAGTGAGAGGCACACCTGTGGCTAATTATCCAAAATGCCCTCACTTGATGCATATTCGATGTCTGCAAGAACGTATCCCGTATGGAGTCTTTCAGGTGTTAGATTTACCATCGCTTAGACATATATCAAGGAAAAACTGATTATTTCACAGTGAATCCTGCAGACGTCAATCAGTTTATAAAATTTAAACTTTAATTTTCTGGAGCTCGTCTTACAGACAGACAGGAGAGGAGACAGAGAGGAGCAGCAGTTTACTTTCTCAGTTCGTACCATCCCTCGAACTCCGTCTCTGCATCTTTGAACATGGTGATTCACCTCAGATCCCATTTCAACAAAATCGATCATTTTAATCTGGAGACAGCAATTAAATCTTCGACGAGTAATTGCCTCACGAGGCCTGTGTGAAATTCAGACGAGGCCGTTCTGGTTTGAGCTCCGTGTACTCTGTATCTCATGAACAGGGTAATCAATTTTCTAAATAGCTATTAAAGCAGATAAAGTAGGCGATGAAATTCAACCAACTAATATTCTCTCTCAGTTTTAATGGTGTGATGCTGCACACATGCATTCACACACAAATAATGAGACTTGAATTTACTGAAAGACGAGCTCGAAGCTCTTTAAATCTCTCAGACCAATGTTTGAGGTTTTCAGGGATTAAAACACACCTGATGATTCGTGTTGCATCAAGACATGACAGAAATCAGAGGCACAAATTTGTTTTATTTGTAGCCTATGGACAGGATATTTGGATGGATATTTGTCAACATAAGTTTTATTCTAATATTTTTGTCTGTTATGACTATTGGTCGTGGGAACATTTTACTTACCAGCTGCACTGAGGACATTTTGCAAATGACATTAAACATAGAATAACCTGCAGTCGAACTGAGAGAGAAACGTCTGAGATTATTTCTATTAAACTGAACATATAACATATCGAACCAACAAGATAATAATCTCAGTGTTGACAGGTTGAGAAAATAGAAAATATGAAGTGAACGCCGAGTTCCTTTCACATCAGTGTTCTCAGCCTCAGCATTTTGGTTGTGTTGAGAGAAAGCACATTTAGTCAGCTACCAGGAAATCAGAGAGAGGGAGGGAGAGAGGGAGGGAGGGAGTGTGACTGGCCATCAAAGAATCTCATCTCAATAAAACTCCAAAAATCAATCCAGAAGCCTCCGGTCAATGCAGCGCACCAATTATCCACAACGGCGGAAGTGCCCTTTAACAGATTCAGAGACTTATTCGTTTTGACTGAAGCAAATGGACGGGTGGGTCTGATTATCTGCACACAGCTGCTCTTCCTTAACACACACACACACACGCACACACACACACGAATAAACACACAAATGCCACATCATTGATACACATGCAACTGTGCACACACACACACACACACACACACACACACACACCTTGTCTGAAAGCATTAGTATGTGAATGGATTGATCAGCATGCCTGAGCACATCTGAGTGCTCCTCCTGATGAAAGAGAGGAGGATCACCTTGGGAAAAGCTGCTGTTCAATGAATGAGAGTATTGATCAATGTGAAAGCCGATTGAAGCTGCGAGCTCAAATCTGACAGTGTCACACCCTCTATATGTTGAACATGTTAACCACATTACGAGGAAATAAATATGGAGAGGCTGTTAACATGCAGCAGTTGTTATTCTTGTTTTTAAAGGCTGTCTCTTCCCAAAAAGCATCTTCTCTGTGGACTCCAAATCAAAGAGGAAAATCTCAGACGTCAGTTAGATTTCTTTATTTTAAATAATTACGTTTTTAAATTTACAAATTTTAAAAGCAACACTTGTAATTAAATTTTTTTTTTTTTTTTCTCCATGAACATAAATGTCATGTTTCTTTCTTACTATGTAAACAGTTTCAACTATGACCATAACTTTGCGTTACATAATCTCCACATTAATCCAAGTCCCATGATTCCTTGTGTGGATTACGGGGAACAACTCCTGGTTACTACTTCAAGTGCATCAGTGTCTGTGAGAGTTACAGGTGTCGTTCCTTTCCTTAAAACATTGTGGGTGGTTTCTTTAACTTTAGGCTGGTCGGACGTGTTCGCTTGGATGCATCTTCTTTTGATCATACTGTTTCTGGCAGGTTGTGCTCCAACATAATTTACTTCCCAAAAGCTCTAAAATAAGGACTAAAGTGAATAAATATAAACAGAACTCATGCAAAGGTATCATGGAGAATAACGAGGATAGTGCACCTGAAATCTTAACATGAGCAGGTAGAATGCTTCTCAGAACTAGATCGAGTGTAACTGTATACAAGTGTATTTTTTAGGGGTTGCTGAATATTTCCTGAAGTCTGACATTAAATTTCACTATTTCTTGTCGAAGGCCACTTATTCCAACTTTCCCTATTGTCTGAAAAGTTACACGAGGACGTCACATGAGGTGAATAGACATCGGTCTGACTCTCCTGCAGCTGATATTCATCAACGGTGAAATATTAGGTTATTACAGATGTGTCCTCCCTCTCTACCATGTAGCGACCTGACAGTTTCTTAAAAGCAACAGAGGATTGGATCTATAATTTGGACTTTGCATAAACCAGTACACATATTTAATGCTGTTCTCTACTCACTGAGCTTTAAAGCCACATCAAAACGCCAAAACAACAGCGATTTATAGGCTCGCGGTAAATTGAACGATGCGGCTGCTCCATGTAGATCAGACCATTAAAAGTCAAATCAGATAGACCTTCCTGCTTACTCAATGAGACGGGCAGATGAAGGAGACCCCTCAGGCAGCTATATTTGATTTATTATCCCATGATGCTCGCTGGCAATCACATCCATGGATATTGACCGACCTCTTCACAATGTCTCGGCTACAATAAATAACAGCTGCGATCAGCAGGGAGACCGATGGGAGGACACGCTCAAGGGCCATCCAACTGCACCAGGCCGGGACGCCGGACTCAAAACCAGGTGCTTGACTCAACTGATTTGCATCTCAGCTTCAGGATGATCCCTCAACAAGCTCACATTATTTTAATTATTTATGTAAGCTGATGTACGATGCCAGATTTACACCTAAAATCACATCAAAATGATCAGAATACTGAATGTCAAATCGCCCTCTCGCCGGGAGGGATTCGTGAATTTCAAACTGATGTTAACAAACTAAATGTGCAGCTCGACTCATGCAGAAGTTTCAGCAGTTTTTATATTCTCTCTCTACATCCGTGTTAGTTTGGTCCACTGGACCACATGACACCAGGACTAATGGCTGGCTCCCGCTCCATGTCCCTGGAGTTCGTCCTGAGCTTTGAGGATCTGCTTTTGGCTTCTCTGCACCTGAACTCACCACAAAACACATGAGAAATGAATGTGTTGGCACCTCTCGGCCATTTTAGATTCTTAATCTCTGACTTTTAATCTGTTTCTTTTAATTGATTCTTGTCATTATATTATTTATATCTTTGTTTTAATTGATGTTCTTTTTTAACTGGTATTTTTATCCACTCTTCCATTTGAAACGAACACAGAGCTGGGCTGCACAATCCCCAGATTTTGGGGAATGATGCAATGAAAGCATTTGAAGTGACAGTCAACTGTTTATATAAAAAAAAAATATTCCCTAAGAAATAAACAACCTGTGGTTCATTTCATGCGGTGACTAATACAGGTGAGTCAGCAGAGAGGCGACACTCCACAGGAAGGTTTTGGGGCTTTTTGGTTTTCTTGACGCCTCAGCTCTCATGTGGAGTTGAACTAAATTAAAATAAAGTGGGGGCAGTGGGACATCAAGGCTATGAAAGGAAACCAAGAGGCGAACACATCCTGCGGCCTGCTGGTCCGACGCTGGGGGGGGGGGGGGCCGACCAGCTGCCCCCGGCCCAGACCCAAGGCCTTAAATCTGGGCTCTGCTGTGTATTTATGACACGACGGAGAAAGATGAAGAGAAACTGCTACGACACGTCCGCTGTCACCTGAAGGTTGTTTTAGGGTTTGATGGATAGATCGTATTTATGCAGAGGGCCAATAGTTTGTACCAATATTCAATAACTTTCAATAACAGGTTGAAAATAAACACTAACTCCAGGTGTTACTCCATACAAATGTATAAATATATGCAAAATGATGACACTAAATCATTTTACCCTCCATTCTTAGTCATTGGTTCATTTTCTGTAGCAGCAGTAAAGAAAGAACCCTCCATTATAACAGCGGTGAGCAGTAATTAATATTTAATAACAAGCCAACATCAATCTGTTTTTGTGCAGAAGTGGGAGTGTTCTCCGGATGCAAATGTGTGTGAATGATAGGCTGCAGAGCTTTTCTGTGTACATACAGTAATATTGGGTTAGTGTATATGTTTATTTCGTCTACCCTCCTTTTATTATCTAATACATACACACCCACGCTGCAGGCACGCATGGACGGTTCAAGGTCCAGAGTAATTTAATGAGTGTTTCCTGCTCAGACTCTCTGCCGAGTCCTTCAGCATGAAAACAGCCTGAGCTTTCCTCTGCAGCTCTGCTGAAAAACCGTTGTTGTTTTATCATCGTTTGAGCATTAAAGACTGCAGCCTGTTCACATATTTGATAGGCATTAACATTGACATATGTGATTGATACTGATATCAGGTATCAGCTCGTCAGGTTCTCACAGACCACAGTAAAACCTGACCTCCAACCGAAACACAACTCGCAGAATTTCTTGACTTGATTTTGTCAAATATCAAATGTAGTAATTCAGCAATCATGGATCGAGACAGACAAGAACTACAAAGAGACCAGTTTTAATATCAAAAACAATGCGTATTTTACATAAAAACAATATATTACAGCACAGGGAGTTGTGTTTTTATCTGTGTATAAAAACAGGGGAATGAAGCTGGTTGTTAAAGGAAGGTTAGGGCAGCTGCACCATCTGCTGGTGGCTCAAGGTTACTGCTGCTTTAGGAGACTGAGCAGCAGCATCCTCTGGGCTCTACAGAATATTTTTGTTCCCTTGTGATGCCTCCTTCACTTTGCTCAACTTCTTATGGTCGCTAAGACACGAGAGAGCAAACTACTTTGTACAGGTACAAACTTGTCTCAGGAGTCGTTGGGGAGGCCGAACAGTTTGACGGTGCCCGCCTCTCTGTTGTTGTCGTACTTGCCCTCCTTGTCATCGCAGGCGTAGGCCAGCAGCGGCCTCTTTGGGTGCCAGGCGACAGTAAATGTTGGAGAGTCACACTGAACCTCCCACAGCTTCTCTCCTACAAACAGACGACACGAGAAGAAGTGAAAAGTGTGTCAAATTATTTAAGAGCAAACACAAAATCTGCGATCATTAAAAACTGGCACAGTTAAAAAGGCAGCAATCAATAAAAAATTACCCTGAAAAATGTGCTATAAAAGGAAATCAACTGTATTTTCCAAGTACTGATGTTGATTTCTACTTGCAGTCTCAGTCTGCAATCAATTTCCAGAACCTTTCAATAATGTTCAAGGTCTTTTTGTGAAATTACAGGGCACAAATGGGACCTGTTAGGAGTTTCTAAGTGTTGTTGAGCAGCATATTTAACTAGAAAGTAAAAATCTCTAGACATTTAAGACCTGTGAAAGCCTTTCTACAATTTTAAGGTTGTTGTTAACAAACAAAGAAAAAAAAGACAATCCTTTGTCAAAGTCCCAGATATCACAGACAAACAGCCTGTTTGCTGTTTTCCTCTCTGTCATGGCAGATCGCTGCACTGACCTGTTTCCACCTCAGCGATGTCTATGAAGTGATCCTCGGAGGCCGAAGCCAACATCTTGCCGTCATGACTGAAACTCAGAGTCCTCACCGGCCAGTCTAACCTGCAATAAAAACAAATTTTCATAATAATAATAATAATAACAACATAATAACATTTTCATATCTATTTATCAATAAATAGAAAATTCCAAAAAAGAGAAGACTATTTTTTAATGTGGCTTTCTATTTATACATGAAGCACAACAACAACACACACACACACACACACACTGACCTGGAGAAGCAGCGGACACACACCAGCTCCTCCACATCCCACAGGCTGACCAGGGCGTCTGCACTTCCTGTGGCAAAGTATTTTCCTGTGGGGTCGAACTTGATGCAGATGCAGTTGGACGGGTGAGCGTTGATGGACTGGATGGGCTTCAGCTCTGGATAACTGCAAATCAACCAAACAGTTTATTTCAGGTCTGATAACATCACAGCAGCAGAGATTTAACACTTACAGGATCTTCACACCAGGTGTTTTTATTGGAGATGTTTAATTTAAATGCCTTTTAACTCATGAGGAAAAAAGTGCCATTTAAAGGTGCTCAGAAAGGTGTTATTAAGATGTTAAATGAAACTAGAATTGTAAGTGAATAAGACAAACTGTAGATGACCCAAGAATCATGAGAGAAAAGCTCTGTTTACCTGGGAGGCTTTTCCTTCGGTAGCCACGATGTTGCGTTGAGACGAGTCAGAAATTAAAAACGTGAAAATAAAAACCTCAACGCAAAGTTTTTGGTAGAAGTCGCAGTCCCTTGTTTGAAAAGCTGAGCAGAATAAATGAAGTCTGCTGTCTCACATAAGTATGAAACTTATATTAGTTTATATTGCTTTAATATCTAACTAAATAAAACAGCAGCAGAGGGAACATGATGCTGACAGTTAGACAAGAGGAGGAACAGTTTGTTTCAATTTTTAAAACGCAGGCTACACCTGTCAAACAAAACAAAAGCACACTGCAGTTGAACAGTGGTCATTTTACAGGTGAGCACAAAGATCTTTTCTCACGACAAACGGAGCTGCTCCACTGTCTGTGGATACCTTCATAATCCAGCGCAATCCAGCGTGCAGAGTAAGTGCAGCCCCTCAAACCAGCAGGATGATCCAATAAATGAGCTGCCTGAGAGACATGTGACGTCTGTTTACCATAATTTGGCTGACTGAGGCCTCACTGTACAAAGGTCACCCTGATGAAAGCAATGTGACAAAAATATTCAGGGGAACATCATAGAAGAAAACACCTGACGGTCAGATTCTTCTGCCGACTTCACTGCTGTGGCATGAATTTTTTAAAAACTACAAATCAAACACCAACAAGTAACCAGTATCTACCATCACACCATCAGCAGACAGTGGCAGCTGGCAGGTGTGTGAAAACTGACTGAGAGCACAGTTCTCACACAGCTTTTGCAGAATAAGTAAACGAGCTTTTGTTTCTTGTCGAATCCCACTTTCACAGTTAAGTTTCTGTTGAGTTCTTACCTCAGAATATTGATGCAGCCGTTGCCGTTTGTGAGGAAGAACATGTCGTTGTCGTTGTTCCAGGAGATCTCGTTCACCTCGAACTTGAACTGTTCCTCCGCCTTGGAGCGATGAGTCTTGGCGTCGATGAAGGTCACCACGTCATCTTTGTTGCCAACAGCGATAGTCTGACCATCAGGGCTCCAACAGATGTTGATGTTTTCTCCTAAAAATCATTAGAGATTTTTTTTTTTTATTATTTAGCTGGGATTCTGAGGTTCGCAAAAATAGTCTTTAATTACATTTTTGATCGTTCTTAGTTATTTTCCTCCCTCACACAATAATGAAATGTTTCTTCATCAGCCACCTGTCTTAAAAATCTGTTGTTGTTGCTGTGTTATGAATTATGTATACACCAGCAAACAGAATAAAATCTCTACAATCTCTTCAAGCGGTTTTAACTTTACATGCCCTAACAAACTCCCTAAATTAAATGACAGGCTTTGCAGTATATATTTTCCTTTTTTTTTTTTTCACATGGTCGGAGAAAAATGGAGCAGCTGGGAGGAAGCAGGGCGTCTGGTGGGTTCTGTCAGTAGTAGGAGGTGTAACTCAGGATGTGTTACTGTGAAGACAAGCGTCTGGAGTCCTGCTGTTAAGCTCGTGGCTGAATCACTTCCGCAGAAGTTCACACATATTATTGCTGTTTACATGTCTACCTTCATGGTAATCAAACCTCATATCTTGCTCCACTTTGACCAACTTCATCCAGTTTGAAAAGAGCAAAACAGACAAGGAATAGTCTTTGTGTGTTTTACTTAGACACGCTGCTCCATAGGGGGCTATTTTCCATCTATATTTCTATTTGTATTATTTTCTTTACATAAAAATGAAAAAAAATTGCTAATGGTATATGATTTTGATGATTAAGTCTCACCTTTTGTATTGACGGTGGCAATGCATTTGGTGGTGCGGACGTCCCATATGCGGATGGTCTTGTCTCCAGATGCTGTGACAAACAGATCAGGGTTGGTCGGATGCCAGCAGAGCTGATCTACGCTGTCACCATGACCTCTGTAGTTGTTCTCTTTCACCTATGGACAGAGACAAAGTCAGACTTAACAGGTGCATCGGCCCAGTTACAATGAGCCTCTCTGCAATAAACCCTTACAAGATAAGTAACACATTTGTATGATTAAGATGATACTGTACAGAGACCACATTAAATCTAAATAATAATAACTGAGCTACACACTGGTTGTTTCCATTTTTTATTAATCATATGCCAATTTATATAAGTAAAACAATGACTTAAGCTAATTTAGGACGAAGAGAAGCTAATATTTTCCATTAAGCCTCGTGTTTCTTAAGGCTTAAAGAAATTTGAGATGGAGCAGATATTTAAAGCAACATAATTCTGCTTTGAGTGTTGTTCACTTTGCCTTTCATTCCGTGCATTTCCTAACTATTCTAACACTGTCTTCAGACTTTCATTAGCGAGACTGTGAGCTAAGACTGAGAGCTAACGTTAAAAATGTGAACTTTTCTCAAAGGAATCTGGCTTAGTATTTTTACATAATTAAAGCGATGGTGAATTCGTGGCTATGACAAGCGTTAATTTATAAACCCAGTCGTGTGCTGTAGAGGATTATCTACAAGGATGTGACATATTACAGCTCACTGGCCTTAGCCCTGCACGCCCATTCATTCACTGAAAAGAGGCTAACGCTAGCATGCTAGTCGGGAGCTGCACAGCGACTCACCAAACGGTCCTTTTCGAGAACAAAAACGCTGGCTGTTTTGTCAAAAGACCCAGAGGCGAGTCTCCTGCCATCACAACTCCACGCCACCGAGTGGACCTTCGCGGTGTGAGCCGGGAATTCTCGACTTTTGCTGTTATTTTTGAAGCTCTCTTGCATTTCTTGGTAGTACTGCGACGCCATCTTGAAACCCTACGTAATAACTTAGCGGCGGCAGGAAACCGGCGGTGTGTCACTATACCGCCACCTTGTGCTTAGGAGTACGAACGAAAGCTCTACTTGTTAATTCTGTTTGGTTAATTAAATCAATTACGTTTCTTCAAAACAAGACAATTAATGCTCTTAATTTATATTCCACAAAGTCCCAAATTTGATTAGAAAAGTTGTGTCCAAACCCTACGTTCAGTCTATAGTCCAAACCACGTAGCACAATGTTTCAGTTTTGATAGGAAAATAATTACAGCAGTTAGTCCCGACCAAGTGATTTGATTGGACGAGAGGCATTCCATGAGTGCTGATGCAGATTACTGGGACTTTTCACTACATGTGTCACTCCGCTTTACAGGTGTTCTATTAACAGTTAATTAGCGTTACATTAACGGTCGTTACAAACAGGGGCCAGACATTGTAAACAACATTGTAAACATTTAATCTAACTGTGTCAATGACTAATTTCCACTGCTGCCACGTAAAAAGAGGCAAAGATTTTTCTGATGTTACTATTTTGAATTTACATGACATAGGTGGGGAATGAATTTGGCATTTAACAGCATTACTAATCTCAAAACCTATTTTTGTTACACTATGCCGGAGTATAGTTCATAGATTTAATGTTTAAATGACAAATAAATCCAGACCAGTATGTGATGCTGTAAGTATCAAGTCAATGTCTTCACTTCTCTGAACTGAATATTAGGCCAACATAAGAACATATTATTATTATTATTATTATTATTATTATTATAACAGATCTTCTGCCTTTCTGAGGGCAGCTCTGAATTTGTTGGTCTCCACTATCTTCTTTGTGTGCTCCTTCCCTTTCAAAAGTGTAGCCCTCATCTTGCATCTCGCTCCAAATAAAGACAAACACTGCTTGTTTTATTTTGAATTGCAATTTATTTCAAGTGATGCTAAAATGAAAATCCATGTTTTAAAAAACTTTTAACACTCCATTTATATCCCAAACACACACAATATCTATAGTCACCCAAACTCTGCCAGATACAGTAAATCCCTTTGTTAAGTAGCCACTTGGTTGACAACTATGCAAAGACCCAAAATGTAACCCAGCTGCAGGACAACTCTACAGCCGTCTGAAGGCCTGTGCAAGGCCTCGATATGCATAATATTCACACCTGTGACTGTTAAATAGCTCTGACGGGTTGTTTTATGTGCAGCCTAACAGTTCATTACCTCCTTAACATCCGGTCCTTTGCATTAGAATAAAATACACGGAGGGGACAGAACAAAATGCACTTTTATACGTGTGTTTTAAGAAAGAATGACAAGGTGTGAAACCATCATACAAATGTGCCTTATGTAATTGCATACTCTTCAAAATTGTTCTTAAATGTGTCAGGAAAAGCTATATATAGACAGCAGGCCCTACGAAATAAAAGTCAAGGAATGCACGGTGAAATGTGTAAATGTGAGCGTGTTGACCGAGTACAGAAACAATGAGGGCGTCTCAGAAGAGGTGCATACAGGACTCTGGCCTCAGTGCTGATTCAGTGGAGGAAGGCATGTGGAAGACATCTTATCTCTGGTGGAGGGACTATGACGATATCTCATGAGTTTTAACACCACAAAATGTTAATTCTGGACGTATAGGTTTAGAGGCAGGTGTCTGTGGAGAGGTAGACAAAGTACACAAGCACCCGAGTCTTCCAAAGCTGTTCTAACCATTTGCTTATTTCACCATTTGAAAAAAAAAAAATGGCTCGTCTGTTTCTCCTATATGTTTTCTTATCAAGGCGGGTTTGTCCCACGGACCCTGAGAACATTTCTGTTAGCTGTGATTTAGTTTGAGCTGTGCTGCTAGGTGGGTTTCCATCCAAATGTAGCGCAATTTTTTAACTGAATTAAAAGAAGAAATGCGCATTTCCATCCACTGCTGATATGCAAGTATTAGAGTTAATGAAGATAAACAGCAGGTGGTGCTTTTCCCAGTCAGATGCCACTAAACCATTTGCATACCTGCTACGCTAACTTCTCCAGCTCAGCCGAGCATTAAAACATTTTTACAATTTCAAGATTTTCTTTGAATTTCTTTCTTTTTTTTTATGCTCAAATTAAAAAACAGGATGGAAACCCACCTACTGTCGTTGTTGTTGTTGTTGTTGTTGTTGTTGTTGTTGTTGCTGTTGTTGTTATTGGAGAAACCTCTTGTTCTATTCCTCTAAAAACCTCACATTCATGTTCCCTGTTTGTCCGACTTCCACACCAAAGCCTTACACTGACACACTGATAGTCGACACGCTGAAACCTGAACAGGAGCCTCAGCAGCTGAAGAGGAAGAAAGGACCCGTGCCTTCCCACATGCAGAGCTTTCTGGACTTTTTGTTGTTTTGTTTTTTGTTTTTTTTAAACCCTGGTTGTAAAAGTTGTTCCTGGTTGTTTTCACTCAGCCTCCCTCCGTTTAGACTCAGGAAGAGGTTGGATTAAAACAGAACGTGATCCTCTAAATACCTGGATACTACAGTCAGGGCTGCACAATGAACACTTCACTCAAATACAGACTGGGGGGGGGGGGGGGGGAAAAAAAAAATCTCATCTCCAGGTCCATTTATTTTGCTTTTTCTGGAGCTTTCAGCCACATCTCATAGCCTTCATTAGTGGATGTAGTTTGTTTAGAAAAAACAAATCAAGTGGAACCTGTGATACGTTTTTTTGCCAATCAATCTAACTGGGGAAACTCCAGAGCAAAATGATGTCACGACTGACGGCCTGATCGCCATGAAATTTGGTGTCCTTGTTCGTGTTCCCAATAGAATGAATCCTAAAGATTTTTGGTGACCTCCTGACCTTTCCTCTAGCGCCACCATCAGGCCAAAACCTCCACTTTTACATATTAAACCAGTTATATACCTGCCCACAGTTGACTTTAATAACACTCTGATCTTTCCACTAGCGCCACCCTCAGGATAAATTTAACATTTTTAGCTCCACCACTGGAAAAATCATCAGCATGTTTCTTCCATGATTTGCTGGGTGTAAGAACATAGGATTAGTCTTTAGTTTCCATGCTGATCACTAATCCAAACACCCCAGAGACAGGGAGGAAACATGCATGATTTAAAATCAACCAATGACAAAAATATCACAATTTATCAACATGCAATTTGTCTTAATTTAGAAATTCTCATTTGTTTTTGTCCCAACCTTAATTTAGCACTTTCTTTTTTTTTTTTTTACTGCAGCATATAACGAAGTAAAATGTGTTTCAGTATTGCAGCTGATGAAGCTGTTGATTATATATAAATCAATTGTGCAGCCCTCACGACGACTAGGAGTAAAGAAGAGGTGGAGGAGAAGCAGAAGAAGTTGTAGAGTACATTACAGTGCATTCCTTCTGATGACACAAAGTCATACTGAACAGATCCTTTGTGCATCAAATAGAAAAAAACAAACAAAAAAACATCAACCTAAAACTTTGCAGTCGTTGTACAAGTCGAAGTGTTTGAAGAAAAACCGAGGCTCTGTGCAAAAAAAGTGCCGCTTCCCTCAAACGGTTCAGTCAGTCTGTCATCAAGGATCCACAGGTTCGTATCGAGAAAAGACGTGACGTTCAGCAGGTTGATAAATGCTCCGGTTACTGGAGAACAACGTAGAATATCAGCCACTGTAGAAAGCTTCACACCGACTGCTCTGCGCTCCCACGGGTGTGTCTGTTACGGGACATTTAGGTGTTTATCACTATCAACTTTATTGAACTGTAGAAATAAGCAGCTGAAATCACCACTTTTGGTTTTTGTCGATGTGTTTTTTTAATGTATCTACAAGATTCACCACAAATAACTGTCTGGTTATTGGAGATGATAAAGTCTGGAAACTGAATGAGAGCGTCCGTTTTGGACATGTTGCATTAAACCAGTGGTTCTCAGACTTTTGCAGAGGTAAAACTACACAGTGTTTAACTGAAGGGGAAAGGCCACCATTAGAAAACAGGTATGACAAATAAATGTGATGTAAGTTTTCTTGTTTCCTACCCTGGTAAGATTCATGTCTCCTCTGAGACTCACGCTGCGACCTCCTCTGACCCCTGGTCGGCAGAACTTTCACCCTATCACCGTTTTACCTTCAGTTTTCGAAGACGCATCGCACACATTGGACTATTAATACTTTGTTTTCTCTTTATAGAAAAACCTCATTTACAGGCCAGACGGTGTAATGCGCTAATGAGACGTGACGGGCAGCAGTTGCATTTATATGGATACTGAAAACACGAGTATGAAAATACTGAGTGAATTGAAAGAAGCTGTTCAACCTGCAAACTCATGCTGGAGCTGGTTTGGATGGATAAGAGTAACAGTCTGCATGTGTGTTAGTAACAGCTGAGCAACAGTCGCAGTCAGTGTTTGAGAACCTTTCTACAATGGCTGGACGTGTTGGGGTGCGTTCACACCAGGCACACTGTGAACATCGGTTCATCTAAACTCCCTCGTTCACGTGAAGACTCGGTAAATTAGCTACATGTTAGTCACGTGACTTTTCTTTACAGGTCCTACTGCAGTTAGTTTTTAAATGGTTAGTGTTAATCAAAAAAAAAAAAGTACAACAAAGTCAACTTTTCCCATTTGGTTTCCAACCCAGTGAACGAAAATCCGAGGTGTGAACGCACCCCACATCATCTGATCATCACCGATCAATAAAAGCCTGGATCAGATTAGAGAGAGAAACCCTGCCCCCCCCCCCTCCCCGGATCCTCAGAGTCCAGCCTAGCACTCGGCGTCAGTGCTGCCGTTGACCGGCCCGGCGCAGACGGCGGCGCGCGCGTCCTCGCTGGGTTCGCCGTGGTCGACTCCGTTGGACTCGACACACTTCTTCGTCCCATCTCGATCATCCTCGCCGACGCTGTTTGGAGCGGAGACAAAAAACTCTGAGTCTGAGAATCAAAGCAGATGCTGTTCATCTGCAGAACACAGCTTCACTTTACAGACACTTCAGGAACCTGGAAAACTTTGACTTCCTGTCCCTCAGAGTCGTCCATGTCACTTCCTGCCGACTATTTTTTAAAATTCATACAATCACACAGAGAGGAGAAACTGTGAGCCGTCCTCTCTCTGTTCTATCTGCAGCATCATGTTTCTTTAACAGACTCAAAATATGAAAGCAATGGTTGGAAACTGTATTACTGCCGAACTGCATGTAAACATCTTCTCCAGTTTCCCGCCTTAATCTGATTTCTCTCAGTAACCTTCTTGTGCGTCTGTGAACGCAGCTCATGTGGCTGAGGTGGCGTCCAGCTGTTATATACTGGAGAATTACATAAACATGAAAAATACGTTTCGTTATTGACAAAATATTATTGTGTTTCGTTAATTATCACTTTTACTTTACACTTCATAAAGTTAAAATATTTACGTTTCGAAAAAGGTTATAAAAACCAGTTTGAAAGAAGATGTAGATTTGAAACCAGGTTGTTGTTACATTGGACGTAACAATTAAGAAATTATTAGTCAATTAATTGATTAGCTACAGACATCACATTCTGTTTATCCTGCAGCAGCATATCCTCTAGTATTGGTATAAAATATATATGACGAAATGGAAACATAAGCAACTTTTTTCTATCACACACACACACACACACACACACACACACACACACACACAGTCACATGTTGATGATACATCAGAGGCAACGAGAATTTCCCAATTTGGGATCAATAAAATCTATCAATCTAATTTGCCCAGGGACACTTCTACATTTGGACTGGAGGAGCCGGGGATCGAACCACCAACCTCCTGAACCAGAACCATCAGACAACTCTGTGAGGTCAGAGGTCATCAGTGACCTACAGAGAAAACTTGACCTCAACGATTAGTTAACTAATCCATTAATTGATTATCAGAAAAAAGATTTTGATCAATATTTAAAAACTTGAAGACGTTTTGAAGGATTTATAGAGTAAACAGTCAATCAATTTGTTGGAAAATGAATCAATAATGAAAGTAATCGTTAGCTGCAGCCCTTAGCATGAGTTAGCTTAGCCGCCCCTCCCCCGTGTGTGGTGCAGTGGCGCTCCACCTGTTGACGCAGCCGTTGCTGACCGGAGACTCTGCCGTCTCCCTCTCAGACAGGGAGCTGCAGGACCTCCTCTCCTGCCAGGAGCCCACTCTGGACTCCCGGCCTGTGTCCGAACTCTTCCTCCTGGCCACGATAGGTCCCGGGCCCGACCCCCGTCTCTCCTGGCCCGCCCTGGGCCCCGCGAGGTCGGAGGGGGTGCTCAGCAGCCCCCCCGGTCCCTCTGGGTCCTTGCCCGAGTCGCTGCTGGTGCGCCTCCCATTCAGGCTGTCGGAGGACGAGACGTGGCTCATCTGGCCCTCACGCTCATCTGAGGAAGAGGAAGAAGAAGAAGAAGAAGAAGAAGAAGAAGAAATGTAAAAATGTCTCAATCCTGCTTTTAAATCAGCTTTTGTTTTAGTTGAAGAACTGAGGGAAGAAAAATTATTTTCCTTTAAGTCTGAGTTAAGATTTCCTTAAAATAAAAACAGTTGCACAAAACACCCTTAAAGTTTCCTGATAATGTTCACTTAAGTATTACAACATTCACTGAGTTAATGCTTATAAATGAAGAAAAATAACCCTTAAGAAATTCCCTTAGCTAAAGAGAAATGAAACCTTAAGTGTCTTTAGTAGAAAACTCGAGGTGTTTTGTGCAGCCGGCTCCTGAATCTGCTCTAAAGACATTCTTTCATCTTCTGTCCTTTTCAATTTCAAAGGAAAAATGTCTCAACTTCTTATAAGTTTTTTTGTATTAACACTTTCATTTCCTTCTTTCATACGCATCACATGTCCAACTCAACCTGCGTTACGTTGATGTGCTTCTACACAGTCTGATCTCTTTGACTCCGTCTGTCGGAGCAGAGTCAGGACGTGAGGCTGAAACGTTCCTCACACTTTTAAATGAAGCAGCTGTTTTCATCCTGCTGCAGGAGGTCGATCAATCACGGAAAAACTGATAAATCCACATCATCAGCAGAAATCTGACCTCATTAAACAGCGTGTGTGTTCATTCTGTGGGGGCAGCGCGCCCTCTTCTGGACACACACACACACACACACACACACACACACACACACACACACACACAGCCTCCCTCACAGTGTGACATTCGTTGTGAGCGCAGCCACAGCAGGAGTTGAACCTCTGACCTCTGCAGTGTGAACACCACATGTTCTGAAAATCGAGCGACATCAAAATTAACAGCGCAGCCTCACATGAACCCGACTGAGCCGAGTCCATCTCTGAATTCACACACACACACACACACACACACACACACACACACACACACACACACAGCTTTTAACTCGCTTTCACTCCTTCTTTTTATCAGTGTTGAATCTGATGAGTCGTTTGTGATTTTATTTCCTAACATCAGCACATGATGAATTCGAGAGTTTAAAGGTTCCATTTAAAGTTTATTTAAAGTCAAATATGTTTCTCTGGTTTGACTTCATGTTGAATCCACACCTGAGATAAATAGTTCGTGTACTTGAATGTTTTCTATAAGGAAAATAAATGGAGCTTTGCAGCCAATGTGGTGATAAACTCTGACTCTCCTCCTCAGGTGTGTTTACCTCCGGAGCCGGCCTCCCCCGCCTTGTTGCGCCTGCGTCTCAGGATGACCTCCAGCTCGCTGTCCTTCTTCCCCGGCGGAGACGGCCCGGACTCCTGAGAGCCTCTGCTGGGACTCCTCTTCACCGTCTCCTGGAGGACAGACGCAACCGTCACTGCAGGAGGTTCTTTAATCTATAAAACAAGTCTCTATAGTTTCACCAACACTGGTAACTCAACATCACAGACATTAATAACGTAGACGTCTTGTGCCTAACATTGTTTTAAATCATTGCTAATGAATTTTAATCCCTTAACAACAACAACAACACGTTGAGGAAACTTTCTGGAGTTTAATTTCTGAACGAAGATCGACAGATAAATGTTTATATTTACAGTTTTTTATCAGCTCGTGTTTCTAACTTAGCAGCAAAAAAAAAAGGTAGAAACTGTGCTTTCTAACGCTGTGTAGTGTAAACCCGTTTTTACCAGGATGCCTTTCAGTTCGTCCATGGCGCTCTCCTGTTGTTTCTCCTCACATATCGGAGGCGGCGGCTGGAAAAAAACAACACAAATGATTGTTTTTCTTGTAATTCAGCTGCAGAACCACAAAACAAAAGTGTTTAAGTGATTAAAACTGGAGGCTCTACAGTGTGTGTGTGTGTGTGTGTGTGTGTGTGTGTGTGTGTGTGTGTGGGTGTGTGTGTGTCCGGGGTCAGGGGGGAGGGGAGACGTCTCTTTCTCCCCCGGGGGAGCGACCACGGCGTCACGTCACAAGATTGATGCAAATGTCAATATACTCACTTTTACTGCTACTCTCTGCGGCGGAGACGGAGAGACATGGAGAGGAGAGAGAGAAGAGAGCAATCAGCCGGAGTGCATCAGGCCGTATGAAACATGGCGCCACGCGACCTGACAGTGTTTACAGACGTGATGTTTACAGGAGGAGGAGGAGGAGGAGGAGGAGGGGGAGGGGGAGGAGTCACAGTGACGCAGGATGATGAAGCTGGAAAATCGTCTCTGTTGTTTTGATTCTGTTCTGAAGGAAATATTGATGTTTTTTTTTTTAAAATAATTCTCAGGTCGCAGGAATATCTAAGGACGTCTGTTGCCAGGGTGATGTGACCTTTGACCTTTGACCCCTTGCTTTTATTGCATGTAGGGTCAAAAAAAAAACCCTGGAAAGTTTATTTTGAAAGATTTATAGACAAAAAAACTGAGTTTAAATCTCCCTCTCTGGATGTTTGAGGCTCAGACTGAAAAATATGATGACACTGTGTTTGGCCTGATTTCATTTTTCTGATTTCATAACATATAAAATAAATAAAATAATTTTGATAAGGAACCTTTAACGTTTCCTAAAATCCAAATATTATGAGAGAAATACTGAGAGAATAAACGTGTGGAAGATCTCTGGCTGATAAACTACGTGACTGTGTTTTTACATTTCAACATGAAAGTTCATTCTTGGATTCATGATCAGAAGATACCGAAGAATAAAAGATTACTGATCAATAAAAAACAGACAGGTTTCTCTGTAAGCGCTCTCTGTCTCGTCCTCACCTTGCTGTCCTGACTCTTGACGGGCCGCAGGACGACGCCATGTTTGATCCTCTCCATCATCTCATTCACCGCCTTCACCTTCACGTCGTCCACGCCCTCAGCAGCTGGAGAGCGAGAGAGAGAGAGAGAGAGAACATAATAACATATAATATCACACCAGGTGACATTATGTTGTCGTGCTGTATATTAAATATTACAAGACAAAGTCAAAACTAATCAAATAACCACAAATGAACTGAATCTAACACTGTAACTCTAAACAGGTGTGACTGGACTCACCTGGAGGCTGCTCTGCCTTCACAGCTGCTTTCGAGCCTTTTGAAGATTTCCTCATGATGGCGATCAGAGAGCTGAAGGAGAGACAAACAATTATTTAGGATCATTATATATTTATTTATTTTTTAACAATGCAGATAGAAATATATGATTACAAGTGTTTTTTTTTTTGTGAGGTCAAGCACACACAAACAGTCTCTGTATAGAAAATAACACAAATAATAAATTATATAAATAAATATATCAACTAAAAAGAACAACCTTCAAATAATTATGAATATTAATTGAAATAAGTAATATAAATAAATAAGAAGTGAAAGAGTAGATAAAGGAAAAAAAAAGGAATAAATAAATGAATAAGTAAAATCATTTTTAGCAGGGAGGGAGTGAAGCTGGTGGAATAAATGACTATAATATTCATTTTGTAGGAGTGCTGTGATTAATCAGGCCTTGATCAGCTGATAATTATTATTAAAAAGACTCAGTAAATGCTCTTAGCTTTTATAAATGTTCTAGCATGTGTTTCTGCTCAGCTACAGCCTTGATTGTTCCTTCACACACCTGCTTCACTGTCTGATGTAGAAAGTGTTCTATAAATAAATATAAAGAAAAGAGCCTCCAGCAGATAAATCATCTGTTATTGCTCATGTTTTTGGTAAATCTGTCTCTTCTTCCAAGCAGCTGAGTGAAACGATGCCCCGCCCCACTGTTAACAGTGCGTGGCGTTGTAGCTGAGGCGTGTGCGGCGCAGTAACCACAGAACACGCGTGTCACTGCCGTGATGTGGAGCGTGCGCCTGCTCCGCTGCCGCCGTCCTCACCTGAGGGGGTTGCATCTCGACGGGGGAGGTGGGGGAGGAGGTTGGAGGGGAGGCAGGAGGGGAGGTTGGGGGGCTGCGGGGGAGGGGCGGGAGGCGGGGCCACCCCAGGTTCAGGGGGAGGGGGTGCCGTGCTGGTCGTCATGGTGATCTTTTTCTGGGTCTCCTGGAGCTCGTGGACTGTGGAGAGGAAACAGTGGAAACAGATAAAACTACTGACATCTGCTATAACGCTATTACTACTGCTGTTACTATGACTACTGCTGTTACTATTACTGCTGCTGTTACTATGACTACTGCTGTTACTATCACTGCGGCTGTTACTATGACTACTGCCCAAGCATCAGTTGTGTCAGGTTAACTCATTTCGGTTGGTACTTTCTTCTTCTGGGGAAAGAAATCCTTCCACTTTTTCCCTCCAGAGTGACGCCTCTTACCCCAACACACCATCTCTGGTCCCCGTGCAGCACGCAGGCCCCATGAAAGACGCCTCTGTTCATCTATTTATTTATTTATTTATTTACTTATTGTCCCTTTTTTTTTTGTGGTTGGAGTCAGTTGGTGGTTTTGGCGCTGACTTCCTGTGACCCATTTAAAAAACGAACAGACAGATGCCGTGTGGCACGAGGGGAGAAATTGTGCATGTTTGCCAGATTTCCTGCAGCAGATGGGTCGACGGTCTGTGTCAACGAAACAAACACACAACAACCACTGATGTCTGAGGACACGGAGGAGAGGGGAGGACACCAGTGACCCTGTTCAACACACATTTTCTACTTTAGTTATACGATTTATTCTAATTCTTACTGAGGAAAGGAAACTGCAGAAGAAGAAAAGTGCAGTTTAAAATCTGACCTCTGTGGTGATTTCTATGTCTCAACAACAGCGGAATATTTCTGAATATAAATGGTTTTTACTGCCTAAATTAAAAACCTGACTCTTCCTTTGAATTTTTCCAGAAGTAGCTGTTCAACCAAACTGCATTAATACTTTTTAAGTTCAGTTTTAAATTTAAAGCTTTTGCCATTTCAGGGTTTTTTATAAGAACTTTTTTAGAAGTTCATATTGTATTTTATATGAAAAATATGCATACATTTATTCAAACCCAATCAAAGACGTTAAGAGCAGACTTCACACAGTTAATCAGAGAACTCAAACTGGGTCAAACAACATGTGCCACTATGGGCCATAGTAAATGTACCAGTGCATAAATTCATTGTGCAAATCTGCCCATGTGTTTCTGCAGGTGGCTGCATGTCAGTGAAGAGCATGTTGACATTTGGGTTCATTGATGCTTCCAAAGCTCCCAACACCCCCGTGGTTTATTCCTTCTTTTATAATAATTTCTTATAACGGACATAATGAAATGATCTCGACTATGGAAATATATATATATATATATATATATATATATATATATATATGAGTGTATCAAAAGAAAAATGGAGGATGTGTTTAAACCCTCTGCTGTGTTTTAAAGTGTGCAGATCCATCCCTCTGTTCTCCAGCTCCACTTCCTCTTCCTGTTCCTCCACCCTCTTGTGGACTCCCTTAACTCCACCTGCTGTTTCCACTTTGTATGTGTGTGTGTGTGTGTGTGTGTGTGTGTGTGTGTGTGTGTGTGTCTCCACCTCCGCCCACCTCTGCTCTCCAGCTCCTCGTTCTTCTTCTCTGCCCGCTCCAGTCGTCCCTCCGACTCCTTCTTCTCCACCTCCAGCAGCTCCAGCTGCCTCTGCAGAGCCTCCAGCTGCTTCTTCACACAGCTCTGCTCCAGCTGGGCCTCCAGACTCTGCACCTACACACACACACACACACACACACACACACACACACACACACACACACACACACACACTGTTAATGTTGGTAAAACTTAATCACCTTTTAATTGTTTATTTGAAAGGAAAATATTAATTTTATTTCCATGATAAACATTTTTATCTTCTCTAGAAAAACCTGGACGGACTTCATGGATAAACTGCACGCTCCTCATGCCCCAGTTGTTTTTATTCTTTGCCTTTATCAAACTAGATTTTATTTCAGGATTATTTCTAATGGTGTTTTGCCGTTGGTCTAGATTGTGAGTCAAAGGCCGAGGCCACGTCCACACTAATTCACGTACACTGGGCGAGTGCGAACAGGAAGCGGACTGTCTCCTCTGCAGTTGGTTAGTTGCAGAAAATACTCTGAGTGAGGAACAGTAAAGACAGCTGTAGCGTTAAGATGCAGAAACAACAGCTGCTAGCAAAGACAACACTTGTAATTCGTTATCCATGTTGCATTCACCACAGGAAGTCGAGACTACAACGCAACCCCGGAGATTTCAAAATAAAACAGGTCTTAGCGGCTCAAAAACTCCAAAACGTGATGACAGACGAACACCTCCTTCCTGACTGTAAACCGAAGCTGCTCATGGTTTCATGCGTTACCTTCTGCTGATGCTGCAGACGCTCCTCCTCCAGGGTTTTGGTGACGGCAGCGACGTCCTCCAGAGCTTTCAGCAGCTGAACGCTGGGCTCAGTGCTCTGCAGCAGCAGCATGCTCTGCCTGTTGGCCTCCTTCTGCTTCACCAGCATCTGCAGGAGGCCGAGGAGGAGGAGGAGGAGAGGGAGAATCATCATTGACTACATTTTAACTTCCAAACATATCGCTGCAGTTTGTCCATCACACGCAGGGCTGTTTGAATCCTGCAGGCTCTTCACTTTTCAGGTCAGTAAACAGCAGATTCGGGACATTTCATTTGTCAGGCTCCGCACATCAGTTACCAACGCAACAACACAGGTTCATCACCGGAGCTAACAGCAGCTTCACCCCACAGCTTTTAATTCAGTCAGTCATATCATCGGACCGGACGACTTCAGAGAGCTGAGGAGAGTTTTCCTCCCTCCGATACGAGGATTCATGTTTCTCCACGTGAAGCGTCTTTACCTCGTGTGCGTAAGTCTCGGCTTTGACCCTCAGGCTCTGCTCCAGGTCCAGCTGCTCCTTCATCCCATCGTACTCCTGAGCGGCCATCATGGAGACTGCACAGACAGAGGGAGGAAAGAAAACAATGTATTTACACTCATGTGAGTTGACATGACAACTCACTTGTTTCATGCTAATATTAGCATGACAGAACGAGTACAGTTAGTTCTAACATGCTAATTTACACGGATAAACAAATACCACATTTAGCACGATGACTCAGGCATTAATTAAAACCTGTTGTAATGTTGGTGTGAACCTGTGCTTCCTGTGTGTTGTGACTCACCTCTGTTAAATCTCTTGATGGTTTTGTTTTGCTGCTCAACAGTTTCTCGAAGCTCCTTCATCTCTGCCTGATCTTTCTCTGACTGCAGACGGTGGAAGACAATTCAACAAAATCAGCATCCGGACATTTTGAAAAGAGGAGTTTCAGCCTCTTCACCTGTGCTTCTGTCATTGTGGAAAACTAACTGTATAACTTTATATGCTTTGCCATGAGATCTTGGCGGGTCTACGTCCATACTGCTCCTCTCTCCTCACCTGAATAGTCAGCTCCTCTATCCTCCTCTGCTGGTCATGCACCTGACAAACAAAGTTCTTCTTCTCCTCCAACAAGCTGTTCACCGTCTCCCTCAGCTCTGTCAAAAACAACAACAACAACAACAACAACAGATGAGCATTGTATTGTTGAACAGGAGTGAATCACGAACCAAAGAACAACTGATGATGTGACAAATGATATTACACCAAAAACTTTCACAAAACTTCTTGCAGAAGAGTTTATTAGTTAGTTAACCTGTGGCTGGTTCTACGTGTTGTACCTTTAACCTGCTGCTGATACTGTGTGAAGGTGTCTGCGCTGCCGTCTGCGGCGTCTGCGTCTGCGTCTGCGTCCGTGTCGGCCTCCAGCGAGATGCAGTCGGAGATGCTGGGAAGCAGCTCGTCCAGACACGGCCGGGACGACAGGCTCAGGTACTTCAACTTCCTGTTCTCACAGTTGAGCTGCAGGTCAAAGTTTACAGGCGTCAACGGTAACGACAGCATCATTTAAAATACACATAATCAAATAAAGCATCTCCATTAAGACACAGCACCTGCGTCTACCTCTGAACACTGGGAAGGTTTAACATAAGCACATGGTTTCTTATACAGACACATGATGTAGTCCAACCATGTCCGTGCAGACTCATCCTGACTCAACTCTGCACTTCTACGGCTAATGCCAGCTGAACCCTGACAACACTAATCTTATAGAATTGATTATTGAGTGTGTGTGTGTGTGTGTGTGTGTGTGTATATGTGTCTGACCTTTGTGGCCAGGGCCTCTGCATTTTCCCTGCACGACTTCTCGATCTCCAGCTGAGTCTGCAGAACGCTCACCTCCTCAATCACCATCTGAGACACTGAGAGAGAGAGAGAGAGAGAGAGAGAGAGAGAGAGAGAGAGGGGGACAGTTTTAGTAAAGAACAATTGTTGCTTAAAAATGTTAAACCTTCTCAGTATCATCACTGCACTGTGTAGAAATACATTAACTGGGGTATAAACATGTAAAGTTAATATTTGGCTTCATGTGCATTCCTAAAAGAATCAAGTGATTAGAGCAGGAAATAAAGACTAAATCATGTTGGAAATAAAGACTTATTATAATTATTCTATTATTGTATTATTGGACTATTGAGGTAGTAAGTTCAATCTGTAAAACTGGATCATAAATAAACAATCACCAACATGTTCTTGGAGAAGCCGACACAGTAGAGGCCAAAAAAATCATAAAACACATTTATGTGACAATGACGAGGTAAACAGGAAGTCAGAGCTGCAACAGCTGTGTGTTTAACACACTCCTGCTTTTCATTTAATAAGAGAAACATGGAAAGAGAAAATGTGTGTGTGTGTGAGTGTGTGTGAGTATGTGTGTGTGTGAGTGAGTGTGTGTGTGAGTGAGTGTGTGTGTGAGTGAGTGTGTGTGTGAGTATTCACCCTTTACATTTATGAATTGTGAATGAATCTGTTCCAGCAGCCTGAAGGTTTTATTATAAAGGAGTAAAAATGTTCATTTTCTTTGATTTCCTTCTGCAGCGTCTGATTTTCTTTCTACTAAAATAAAATGAATGAAGCTTTAAAAATAGAAAAAGTACAAAATCATAGTCAACACCTTTGAACAATCTATTTCTGGCATCATCTTCACAGCGCCAGCGAGATGACAAGACAAAAAAAAAAACCTAAAACCGATTTAATTCTTTTAAATTTAAAAGGAAAAACATGAAGGGAAACGTCACCTATTGTGAATCCCATGATGAGTGTGTGTCACTAACACAAACACTGAGCCTGAGGTCGCGAGGCGCCTGCAGCTGTCGAACATGTCACCGGAGCTCGGCTAGTCCCCGGTTATTTTAAAATGACCCAGATATGGAGACTTTGGGAACATGTAGACTGAGAGGAGAAACTCGACGAGATGAAGAAGCTTCGTCAGAATAAAGATCCACTCACATCTCTCTCTCTCTCTCTCCCTCATCTTCTCCATCTTTATTATTCTGCTGCATTTTATGTCAAATTAGTACGATAGCTGGCAGATAACAGACAGACTCGACTCTCTTCTGCGTGTCGATGAGAAACGGCATCTTAAATCCAAATAAATCTCATTGTTAAAACAATACATTTGCTTTATCAGCTGCCATTTTCTCCCTCCCTCTGTCTCACTATCTGCCATTGATGGTTTCAGGTTCTCTGCGGTGACACGGTCGGTGCCGGACTCCTTCAGGCTGCAGTGGCTGGATTGCATTACAGCCCAGCAGGAAGCTCCCTGCTAACATCCCTGATCCATTAACAGACTCCTTCCCCCGGTCAATGTACAAGCCCTAAATGTGATTACACTCTTCACTCACACACAGCTGAGGGCAGGAGGAGAAAGGTGTCCGTGTTGTTCCTGCCCTCAGCCGCTGCCAGAGAGAGGTAAATGTCATCCTGCTTTTTTTATAACATTAGGGGGCGGAGGATGGGGATATAAAAGATATTTTTCGAGCTGGTGACATATTCATAAGCAGAATTCGATCAGTGATATAAAAATGCTGTCAGGGTGCAGATAAGCTCGAGTCAAACGTCCCGCCCTGGTTGGGAAATTCAACCAGCATCTTTGAGGTTTCACTGGTCTGACCTCAATGTTTTGATGATTCACGATGCACAAAACACAAAACTGCCTCATCCATGCGTCATCCCTCTCACTCCCTCTCACTCCCTCGCCACCTTTTTTCTCCAGACATCCTGATGTATGATTTATGTACCTGTGTGTATCTGTGCTGTGATGCTGCTGTGTCAAGTTTCTCCTGTGGGACGGGGAAGAATACCTTCCCTTACTTTACCTTGCTTTACTTTTCTTTACCTTATCTTACCTTAGTATATGATCTCATTTCGTTTCATTTATTTCACACGGATCAGAACAGAATATAAGTTAAAGCATACACAACGGGAGACTCCATGAACAGAGTCTCAGTCACAACATGTACCAACTTCCTCCATGGAGCCACGTTTCTTCATTTCCACCTCCACTGTGTGCGACTGTGTTTTCTTCACCTGCTGTAACTGTATAAATTAGTTATAATTATTAGTCTTATTGCTGGGGCTTTAATTTAAATATTACTTATTATATAATATTATTACTCAATCTATCATTTTATGATACTGAAAGACAAACACGTGTGTTTCTGTAGCGGCATTAGAAAACTCCATGTCAGAGTGTATTGTTCAGTCCTTATATCATATTATCATCCTGAGATAAAGACACAATAGGAATGTCACCATGACAACCACGACCACGACCTGTATCTGTGTCAGTGAGGCCTTCAGGCCCGATGAGCCCTGACTCCACCTCGCATGCGTCTCAGGTGAAGGCGTTTTCTTCTCACAGGCTACATGACTAATGCTCCTCTGTCTGACGATGGAGCCTGAATGCACCACCATTAGACCCACCTGCACACACACACACACACACACACACACACACACACACACACACCAGTAAGGCTGGCTTTGTGTGTAGCTGAGTGTGTGTAGTGTGCAGATGCATCATGCAGGGATGCTTTCAGAGAACAGAGACGTTACAGTGAAACTGCAGCAGCAGCAGTCCGCTCACATATTGATCTGATTTCTGCGTCACGGAGACTCGACTTCATTTCAAAGCTTCATTGTTCAGAGGAGACTCACACACAGATCCACGGATTCCACGTAAACCAGGTCTTTGGTTTCAAATGCTCGGCTTCATATTTCAGAAATACTACAGCCAGAAGACTTCAGGGAATTCATTCATTTTTCTATAAGTCATAACATCAGGAATGTAAACCAATACATCACGTACTGAATCAAGTTGTTCTAATATCAAAATATTCATGTAAGTGAAATGGTTGATGAAGTGAGCGGAGGTGGAGTCCATTAAGAGGAAGCTAACGAGCAGGAGACGCCTCCCCTCACCGCCGTTCGAGTCACAGATCTACACTGCACGTGACTGCGGCGTGTTTTACCACGTGACACCGGTCTGGGCTGTGGCCGTGTGATAACCCTGAACCCAATTAGAACTTCAACTGACTGTATTAACTAAGTGCTTTCATTTTAGCAGCAATCGTTACAGAAGATGATTCAGTCTTTAGTGTGTTTCGTGTTTCTTTCCCGCATCGAAACTGCGTCACGTATCAAACCTTGAGTTGTGCGGCCTGACGGTCGTGTTAAAATTCATTCTGTTTTTAGAGGTGATGACACTGAGCGACCATGATCGCCTTTAAACTAACAGATTACATTAGCCTGATATTCATTAGCTGCCTCAGACAGTTAACGAGTGACCTCGAGGAGCCGCGGGGATGTTGGGTGCCAGAGCGGCGGTGGGTTTAGGCGAGGAATCATTAGTGAGAGAAAGTGATGATATGAAAGTGAAGGAGGAGGAGGTGGGAGGAAGGCCACTGGATCTATTTTTCATCCCTCACTCAATGTTTAATGCCTGTGGATGGGCTTCGGTGGTGTGATTCCCTCCCGGCCGGGGACTCATTTAAACCTTCGGCGCTCTCTCAGGGCTCCATTCAGCCGCTTTAACCACCGCTCCGACCCACACGCCACGGCGGATCGGCCTCTGCTCGGCTGCACCGCGGTTCAGCTGCAGCTCTGTGGGTCAGACGCAACGTGGGAGGCAGAGGCGGGTCATACTGCCGCTATTTATAGCTCTGTTTTTATTCTTCTGCGTTTTACTCCAGAAACCAGCAGCTGGTGCCATCACTGAGGAGACGCTGGAGGATTGTGTGTTAGCTAATGATGTGCAGAGTGAAACGTCGAGCTTGAGAGGCTGTGATCCTCTCTTCTGATTGGCTGACTGTTTTCTGGGTATTCCAATAAAAATACAGCAGATTTCAGGTAAAAACACTCAGAGAAACCAAATCCTGTAAAGGTTTGGATGGTGGGTCCAGGTGGGCGGGGCTTGGTGACTGCTTTGTTGTGACATCACAAAGTTCCAGAAGTCCTGACGGCTGGTTTTAAGGCTCAGTTTCTGAATACAGGCTGTGTGCATTTCTCTGTGGACTGAGGCTTTGATACTTTCACAGTATTAATATAGAAGCTAGACCTGATCTATAATCAAAAAAAGAGATGGAAATCTACATTTATACGATATGAGACCTTTAAAATGATAACTTTACATTGTCACAATTGTTGCCGATTCATTTCACTACACTTATTTCTTGCTCATGTGACAAATAAACCTTTGAATCCTCAGCAGGTGATGAACTCTCCCTGAGAAGACGCTCTGTCTCCGATCAGAAACTCCTCTGGGTCAGTAGCCCCGCCCACTTCAGGGCTTCATGAGATGAGAAAAAGACGTGCCCCTTAAAACCCCGTAATGATCCGACAGGCTAAAAACAAAGCGCTGCTTTTGTTTTTCACCCTTGAGCCGAAGCCGGTGAAAGCCTCCTCGGTGACGATGCATGTTATTAACAGATGATTTGGAGGATTAGCCAACGGTAAGCACATTCATCCATGAGTAATAGTGAAATCCCACCACAGAGGGTTAAAACAGGGTTAAAAAGCCAAGAGCTGCTGAGCACAGAGCCGCTCTGTGTAGGTTTGACTGTGAATAAAACCTCCACATGTGCTGACGTTCAGCAGCTCACATGGAGAATGGTGAATTCTTTACGGTGTGTCGGTGACTGAAAAAGTCACTTTGCTGCTCGGCCTGCGGAGGATTCACACGACATAAAGAACCGTGAGCGTTAATACCGGTGGTGTATAAGCTGTAACACTAACCCCCACGCTAAGCTGTGAACAATGGGAGGCTAATGCTGCCTTCAAGTGCTCCTCTTAAGCCCCCGGGTCCAAGGACCGGGAGTTGTACATTTGTTGCGCACAACTGACAAACTGAACCCTGATTCAG